CACCAAGTCTGGTATAAGAATATCTTTCAGGGGTTGGGGATGTGGCTCAAGCGGTAACGCGCTCGCCGGGCATGCGCGGGGCGCTGGGTTTGATCCTCAGCACCACATAAAAATAAAAAAAATAAAACAAAGATGTTGTATCCACCGAAAAGTGAAAAATAAATTAAAAAAAAAAAATGGATATCTTTTGGGGTTGGGGATATATCTCAGTGGCAGAGTGCTTGCCAGATAGGTCCAAGGCCCTGAATTTGATTCCTAGTAGCCCACAAAAACAAAAACAGGAAAAAACTTCTTATGGAAAAATTCAAACACATTACAAAAAGGAAAAAGAACGTACCCTCATGTATCTATCACCCAGTTTCATGAATAATCCATATGCTCCCTTTATTATCTCACCTATATTCTTAGCCACTCCGCCTAACACATGCAAAAGCCCTGGGTTCGATCCTCGGCACAACATAAAAATAAATAAAGATATTGTGTCCAACTAAAAAATAAATAAATAAATAAATAAATATATATATAAAAGAATTGGGTCCAGGTTTTCTTCTGAAAGTAAGTTTCAGAGTGGTGTATGTGTGTGTATGTATGCACTTATTTATTTTATTTTTATTTATTTATTTTTGTATTACCAATTGTGGCCGTTGTACCCAGGGGGTGCTCTACCACTGAGCTACATCCCCAGCATTTTTTTTTTTTAAACTTTATTTTTTAGTTGTAGTTGCACACAATACCTTTATTTTATTTATTTTTATGTGGTGCTGAGGATCGAACCCAGGGTCTCACACGTACTAGGCAAGCACTTTACCACCGAGCCATATCCCCAGCCCCCGCCTTTTTAAATTCTGAGATAGGGTCTCACTAAGTTACTCAGATTGGCCTTAAACTTCAGATCTTCCTGCTTCAGCCTTATAGGCATGCATCATGGTTTTATGTTTAGATCAATTATACAACTCTATAGTCAATTCTGAATCTTACATAAACTATGAGTTGACTGCCCCCAATTGGTCCATTATAATTTGCTGCAGACTTTCCTTTTATTTTAGGAGTAGCATCCTTGTAGAAGATCATATGGCCACATTTATATATATTTTTCTCTGGACTCTATTCTGCTCACTGGTTCTTTAGTCCTGATGTAGCTTTACTGTACTCTTGAAGTCAGATAGTTAAACACCTCCAGTTTGGGGGCTGAGGATGTAGCTCACAGGAGGTCCAAGGTTCAATCCCCAGCATCTCAAAATAAATAAATAAATAAATAAATAAATAAAAATAAGAAGACCTCCAACTCTGTACTATTTTTTTTTTTTTTTCAATTTGGAACCAGCTTGTCAATTTGTACAAACAAGACTACAAAGATTTTTATTGGGATTCATCACTACATCTTCTAATCCATCAATAGAAATCTCTCCATTATTTAAATCATCCTTCAATTCTCTAAGTGATATTTTATAGTTTTCAATGCAGAGCTTTTATCCATTTTGCTAAATTTATCCCTGAGCATGACACTGTTTTGGATGCTACTATGAAGGCTACTGTTTTTTTTTTTTTTTAAATATATATATATATTTAGTTGTAGTTGGATACAATACTTTTATTTTATTGATTTATTTTTATGTGGTGCTGAGGATGGAACCCAGTGCCTAGCACTCTACCTCTGAGCCCTAGCCCCAGCCCAAGGCTACTGTTTTTAAAAGTAAATACTCTGGGGGCTGGGGATGTGGCTCAAGCGGTAGCCCCCACCCCCCACCCCCCACCCCCGGGTGGAGCCTCAGCACCACATACAAACAGGGATGTTGTATCCGCCGAAAACTAAAAATAATAATAATAATAAAAAAAATTCTCTCTCTCTCTGTCTTAAAAAAAAAAAAGTAAATACTCTGCAGTATTTACTTCTTTGTTCTGGTTGATTTTTCGAATTTTCCATTTATTTATGACTTTTTATATAAATAATCACACAGGCTGTAAATAAAAAGACTCTTTTTCTAATCATTATTTCTTTTTCTTGCCTGATTAGGACCTCCAGTACAATGCTGAAGTCATGAAAATAAAATCCTTTTCTAATTCCTTATCTTTTAAAATACCTTTATTTTATTAATTTATTTTTTATGTGGTGCTTAGGATAGAACCAAGTTCCTCAAACGTGGTAGGCAAGCACTTTTACCACTGAGCCCCAGCCCTAGTTCCTGATCTTAAGATGAAAAACATTCAGTTTTCTACCATTAAGTATCTTAATACTCAATTGTAGATGCCTTTTTAACCAAACCAAGAAAATTTTCCCTCATTAGTTCGCTCTGAGGTTTGTTTAAAATCATGAATAACTTTTGAATATTGTCAACTGCTTTTTCTGCATCTGTTGAAATCATTATAGAATTTTAATCCTGTTAACTGGTAATTTACAGATTAATTTTTGAATGGCAAAGTAACATTTCGATTCTGGGATAAACCACTCTAGGTTAGAATATATTTATTCTTTTTACACATAACCAGGTTTGATTTGCTACAATTTTGCACATCTTCTATTTTAAAAAGTTGTTGCTGCTGCCTGTACTGAACATGTACAGATCTTTTTTCTTCTCAACAATTCAGTATAACAACTATTTAAATAGCATTTACATTGTTTTAAATATTATAAGTAGTCTAGAGATAATTTAAAGCACATGTGAGAATATGCATAAGTTAAAGGAAATATACTATGCCCTTTTCTGTAAGGAATTCGAGCATCCTGGAATCAACCCCCTCCCCCACCTAGTGTGGATATCTTGGGATTACTGTACTAAATTATTCAGAGAAACTGCACACCTCTGCAGACACAGGGCTAGTTCTGAAAACTGTGGCTTTCAAAAAATATATCACACACACATATACATTAGTAAACAGCAGAAGCAGGCACAGGCATTGCTCTGAGACATCCCCGTTATGGTCTTGGAAAGATCTTTTCATATTAAGAAGAGACTGGGATTCCGACACTTAGTTCAGCCAGAGATTGCCACAAGGCAGTTACCTGGGAGACTTTATCTGCATAACAAGACAACCCTTGCTGCAGCGCACCTCCCCCCTTCAACGTTCCACAGCAAGCATTCCCTCCTTCACCCCCGCTACCAAAAGCCGAAGCTTTAGATCTATATACATAAAGTTGGCGGTAACTAGTGAAAGAAACGACCAGCCCCAAATTATGCATATAAGAGAAATTGATTTGCATGGGATTTGGAAGTGTTCCGCTACCTCCCACTGGGCAGAACTGGCTTGGACTCGGACTGCACTTAGGACCTCGGGGTGTCTCTCCGCAAGCCCTCCCCTTCCGCTTTCACGACGTTCGGTCTGCGTCCAGAATTGGAATGGCTCAGCCCAAAACCGGATGCTGGATAAATCGTGTTTCCGAAACAAACGCCCTATCATTGCACTCTTTCAAAAGCTGATTCCTGAATGTACCTATTTCCAAAAAAACCCAGGCTTTGCCTTCTACACACACCTCCCCCCACGTCTTTCTACGCAATGGTAGCGTCCTTCTAGATTGTCGACGACCGGGGGGTGGAGTACACCATTCAAAGAGGGGGAGGGCCTGAGGTTTGTATCAAAACAAACACCCGGTCCTTTGCAAAAGCAATAAAAAGTAGTTCAGAAAAAGAATGGAAGAGGGGTAGAACAGTTTCCCTCCGCAAGAAATAGGAACCCGCGTAAAATACATTTTCTTTCTTTCTACTTCCCTCTTACTGGGACAACAGTGAGCTCTTCCGACAAAGAGAAACCGGAAATGGTGCTGCAAGTAGCAGAAATGTAAATGTAGAGCCAAACAATAACGAAGCTGCCCGGCCTCTCAGACCTGCAGGATCCTGCCCCGTCTCGCGGGCTAACCTTTCATTTAGCACTTCCCACATCTATAGCTGATAGTCTTTAATTGGATTTTCTTCAGCTAACGGAGCCGGGCGCTCACTGGAGAGATCACTTCAGAAAGGACAAAGGTCCGGAAGTTGGGGACCTTAGCGGCTTGGGTTTCCCGATCACCCCAATTAATTTTGGAATGGAACCCGAGGTTCTTCTAGGATGTCATGGGCTCCAACATCTCAAGAAAGTCTCAAAACTAGTGCTTTGTGCATCATATTTCAGAGATTCCCAGCATCCTGCTCTAGGTAGATAGGGGCATATGGGGGGGCCAGGGGGAGGGAGTAGGCTTTTGGAAGGCTCCAGATTCCCCAAAGTCCAACCCCGTGCCCAAGTGTTCAGCTTTGAGTCTGGCTGATAGTAACATCCCCGTTATCTACACCCAAGCCTCCCAACACTGCATTTCCATGTTGATCCCGCCAGCCATTTCCCCTTACCCAGTGAAGCCCCGCTGCTCCCACCCCCCCAAACCCCGCGATTCTCTGGAGCTGCAAATACAAGCAGTCGAGAGCCCATGACTCAGAGAAGACTCATCAAGCTCAATCGAGACCTTACCCCGACCTCAGGGGAGCGTGTCACCGACCTGGGAAGCACGCTCCAAGCCCGGTCGCCAAGTTCTCCTCAGAGCCCCGCAGCTACCTGCGCCCAGAATGATGGCTCTGGACTTTTGAGGAGCTCAAAACTTTTAGCGCCAGTCTGAGCACATGGGAGGGGAAAATCCCAATCCCAGCAACCCTCGCGAGGTTCCTGGCACAAAGCTGGACAGTCGCCATGACAAGTAAGGGCAAGTAATTCGCCTGCAGGCGGATGGAAGAAGTTGGAGAGGATGCGAAGAGTCAGGATTCGCGTTGTAGCTCCTGACATTTTGGAGCAGGAAAGTAATACAAGCTAGAGCTGTGAGGGCAGAATTGGTAGAAATTTTGCAGGACTCCGCTAATGTGTCAAGTATAAAGGGTGGAAGGAAGAAAACTTGCATTTGCCATTCTCTCGGCCTGGAATACTGAGCTTTCAGAATTAGCTGGATCGTTTCTTGTCATTAGCTAAAATGTCACCTTTTAGGAAGGCTTTCCTTAATATCTCAATCAACTGTGATCCCCTGGAGACTTTATATTACACTATCTTGTTTAATTTCCTTCGTAGCCCTTATCACTGAAAAGACCCATTTGTGCATCGACTTTAGGGTAGAGAATTGTTAGCTATCTTATTTACTGCAGTATTCTCCAATGCCTAGTATAGTGCTGTGTAGGAAGTTAAGAGCTTGATAATATTTGTCGAATGAATGAAGAGGTCTGAGGAATTGGGCGGATGAAATGCAAAACCTGAAGCAAGCGCTCTCTGCAGGCGAGGGCGGGTAGGTGCTTTAAGAATTACCGTGGTGGACGGTTAAGGGGAGCTCAGGCATTCTGGCCTAGACGGAACGTTCAGACTACAACTCCCAGCAGCTATTAGGATTCCTAAGGCTTGTTGCGTACGCCGAATCCTACCGGTACTTCTCGCCTCTCTGTGGGTCGCCCGCGAAAGCTGATCCGGGATTCCGAGGGCCAATCGGAAGTCGGGCCCAAGTCCCGCGAGAACAAGAGGCGCGGAGCGGCCCGAGGTTCTTAGCAGAGTTGTGCCTTTACTCTTGATGTCCTTGTATTCTCGCGGGCCGGGGGTCTTCTGCCTCCTCCACGGAAAAGGAAAGAAGGCACTGGTGGGTTTCCCCACTTCTGATCCCTGAGAACTTTGAAGCAGTTCCGGCAGTCCTGTGCATCGGGCCGCCCGTAGGAGTAGAGACTTGCCCGGCTTAGGCCAATGTCTGCCGCGCTTCCTCTGCAGCATGAAGACGTCGGAGGAGCAACTCTTGGCTCCAGACAGCCTTCCTTTAGACCAGGCCCCTGCCTGTCCCTCTCTCCACGCTTCTCCGATGGATAAAAATACAGACCCTGAATTTATACCACCGCCACCTGGTGGAGATGATCTGCCCCAGAGGTCCCCAGATCCTGTGGCTGGCTCAGCTGTGTCCCAGGAGCTGGGGGAGGAGACCCCAGCATCTCTCTCCACTCCCTTGGAAGCAGAGTTTGATACTCCTCGTGAGTTGAGTCCTCAAATCAAGAAGCAAGAACTTGATGAAAATGCTAGCTCTCCTGCAGAAAAAATGAGTGTTCCGGAGTTGGGGTCCGAAGAAGCCATGGAAGGCGTGTCTGAGGAAGCTGCTCCAGAGGATGAGGAAGACACGTAAGTGGTAGTTGACTTTGTCATCTAAGGAGAGTGAAAGTGTGTGCTCACTTCTCCAGGTGCATTTCACCTTTGCTTCAGCGACCCAGGTTTGTTCCTTCATCTTCCTTACAGCACTTGGAACTACAGCTTCTCCCGGATACCTCGGTTTCTCAGTGGTTCCTGGTCTGAGTTTAGCTCCCAACCTGAGAACTTCTTGAAAGGCTGTAAGTGGTAAGTAAGGACAATGGGGCAGAGAGATGAAAACACCTCACTTGTCTGGGGAAAGCATCCACCAGAGGTGGGCACAAGAGGGGAATCCCTCAGAGTATTTGAGCTTAAAATTTTTCTATGACTTTGTGTCTTACAAGGACTCGGGGGCTTACTTACTACAGAGGTAGACCCTATACTTGGAAGGCATAAGTCTGTCCAGTTTCCTAACTCTTTGCTATATTTCTAGGGCCCCTGATGGTTCCTGCATCTTGACCAATAGTGCTGATAACATCCTGCGGATTTATAACCTGCCCCCAGAGCTGTATAATGAAGGAGAGCAAGTGGAATACACAGAAATGGTAAGGGTAGGCTCTAACTCTGTTCCTTTTTGGAGACACTGCACATTTAAACCCTTCATGTGGATGAAGAAAGTATAGTCCACAAATTTTCTGTTCACAAATAGTACTTTCCCTGCTCTATGAATTTTCACATGTAGCATTTTTGCCCTGAATTTTGAAGTCATTTTAAGAGATGTTTGTGGGTATGGTGGTACACTCCTGTAATCGCAGTGATTCTGGAGGCTGAGGCAGGAGTATCACAAGTTGAAGGCCAGCTCCAGTAACTTTGTGAGACTCTGTCTCAAAATAAATAAATAGGACTGGATGTGTGACTCAGTGGTAAAGCACATATGCCTCAATCCCTAGAAACCCCTCCACTGAAGTGAGGGGGGGGTATTTGACCCTTCTTTAGTCAGGAATATCTGTTTTCTCTAGAAAGTAGTAGATTTCTTGTGACAGTGTTTAATTTATTATAGATATTTATTGAATAACTACTAATATGTTAGTCACTGTATTGCTGAAATGATAAAGAATTGAACATGATAGATGAAGAGCTGTTTTTTTTGTGTATGGTTTGCAAATGTAAACCAATAAATAAACAAGATCATAACAGATTAAAATAAATGTTCTGGGAGACTGAGATAGGAATTTGAATCAACCTGCACAGCATAGTGAGACCCTATCTCTAAAATAAATGCATATATGCATACTCTGAAGGGAACAAACAGAACCAGGAGAAACCAACTGGAAGATTCCACTTTAGATACAGTGGTCAGGGAGGGGCTCTCTGAAAAGATATTTGAGCTGCGATCTGAAAAGAATAATGAATCAGTCAGATGAAGATCCAGGGCAAGAACTTTCCAGGAAGAAGCAAGAGTATTATAAATAGACCCAGAGCTGGGAAAGAGCTTTTTATGTTCATAGAACAGAAAAAATATCAGTGTGGAGGAAAGTGGGGTGAGTATACAGAGGTGACTAGCAGCAACGTCATGTGAGGTCTTCTGGGAAGGCCTTTTGGAGTTCGAGAATCAATAGGAAAGTTTTAGAAGAGAGAAGTGAGTGGGTTTGGGGTGAGCAAGAGTGAATCAGGGAGACTCACTAGGATGCACTTAATCCAGGTGAAAGATTATGGTGAGCTGGTGAAACGATGTTAGGAGGGATGTAGAGATGTGGATGGATTTGAAGTGTATTTTGTAAGACTTGAAGATTCATTGGATGTGGAGGTACAGGGAAGGTGATGTTCAGATTTTTAAGTTTTTAAGTTTTTTTTATATATATATATTTAGTTGTAGATAGACACAATACCTTTATTTTACTTATTTTTATGTGGTGCTGAAGATCAAACCCAGTGCCTCACTCGTGTTAGGCAAACTGAGCTACAACTGCAGCTCTTGATGTTTAGATTTTTGCAGTTGGGTGGTTGGTAGAACACTTTATTCAAAGGAGAAAATAGATCTGAGGATAGAAGTCAAGGGGTATTAAGTATATTAAATGGGAGATGTAATCCTAAGGGGAAAAAGTGGGGTCAGGGATTTACTCTAAGAAGTGGTAGAATATTTTTTGATGGCATCTCATGCCTCGAGGATGGATTCATTCTCTAGAGAGAGAGAGTAGGTGAATGAGGAGAAGGCCCATATAGAGCCATGGGTGCACCAGCATCTGGGCCCAGGTATAGGAGAAGCAATAAAGGTGGAAACAATCATGACTAATGCTGCTGAGAGATGGAGTGAGGTAGACTTAGAGAATGACAAGAGACCATGTGTGGCGCACACATGTAATCCCAGTTACTCAGGAAGTGAGGCAGGAAGATTGCAAGTTGGAGGCCAGCCCAGGCAACTAAGTGAGACCCAGTCTCAAAAGGACTCAGGATATAGCTCAGTGATAAAGTATCTCTAGGTTCATCCTCCAGTACTCCAAAAAAGAAAAAAATGGAGACACTGACAAGAGGATATTAGTGACCTTGACAAGTGCTTTCAGAGGAGCAACGGAGGCAGAAACTGATTATTGTGGTAGAAGGAAAAGAATAGACAATTATTTGGAGTTTTTCTGTGAAAGGGAGCCAAAAAATGTGACCAAAGGGATTGTGGGTTAGAGGGTTTATTGGGTGTTTTGTGATGTCAGGAATAACCCAGCAGAGAGAAAGGAATTGATGCTTGTCTTATTCTGTTTTGTGTTGCCACAACAGAATACCTGAGACTGGGTAATTTATAAAGAAAGATTTATTTGTGACAGTCTGGTGTCTGGGAAGCCCAGGGTCAAGGGATCACATCTGGTGAGTCTTCTGTTGTGTCATAGCCTGGTGGAAGACATCCTGACATGGCAGCATACAAACCTAGGTCTCTCTTCTCTTCTTATGAAGTCACTAATTTCTATCACGGAGGCTCTACCATCATGACCTCCTGTCACCCTGTTTCCCTTCCAAAGAATCCACCTCCAAATACCATCACTGCGTGAATTGGGGTTTAAGTTGTGAACTCATGAATTTTTGGCAAACACATTTAAACCATAGCAATGCTGTAGCAGAGAGAGGGGATAACAAAGTTTCTGAGTGGTTCAGTGAAGACAGGATTTAGAGCTCAATGGCGATGTTGGCTTAAATGCAGTGTCCTTCCTCTTCATAGGAAGAAAGGTAGAGCATTCAAAGGCAGCTGTTTGGTGATTAGAAGATTTGGATATTCCTATCTCTTGGTTTCTCTATTCTCAGTGAAGCATAAAGGGAGGTCTCTAGCTAAAGGAAGAGGGCCCTTGTGGAGAGAGCAGAAGGCATGAAATAATCTGTCCTAGAAAGTAGAAAATCCAAACTACTGAGGAACGTGGTAGTATAGATGCTCCTTGACTGACAAGGGTTACATCCTGATAATCTCTCATACGTTGAAAATATTGTAAGTTGAAGATGCATTTAATACACCTAATGTACCAAACATCACACCTTCACATGGTGGATTGTGTTTTCACTCATGATACTGCATGTTTTTGCACCATCATAAAGATGAAAAATCATATTTTGAACCATTGTTAAGTTGAAGATGGTTTTACTGTTCTTTTCACAGTGCCTGCCAGAGGTTTGTTGCTGTTCTTTTTTTTTGATATTGGGGATTGAACCCAGAGGCACTTAACCACTGAGCTACATCCCAACATCCCCAACCCTTTTTTTGTATTTTATTTAGAGACAGGGTCTCACTGAGTTGCTTAGTACCTCACTAACTTGCTGAGGCTGACTATAAACTTGTCATCTTCTTGCCTCAGCCTCCTGAGCCACTGGGATTGCAGGCAGCTGGCTGTTCCTTTTTTTTTTTTTAAGTCAGGGTCTTATTATGTTGTCTAGGCTGGCCTTGATCCTCTGGGCTCAAGTAATCCTCTTGATCAGACTGTCAAGTAGCTGGGACTCCAGGTGTGTGCCAACCTCACCTAACTGTTGCCATCCATTTAAAGTGAAGCCAGTTAGTGTGGTTGTATATCTTTCCTGACAGGTTAAGTGATGGTAGTTTCTTTGTAAAGTGAGGATATGGCACCCACCTCACAGTTTTGGAAATTAAAAGAATTAATGATGGATTAATGTAAAGTGCTTTAAAAAGTGCTTAGCATATAGCAATTATTCAGTGAAGCCTAGTAGTCATTTGTATGTAAGCATGAAAGAGGAGGACAGTCTGGTTGGGGTTTGCCAAGAGAGAAAGACAAGGATATCTCAAGGGTGTCCTCAGGGGTTGGCTTGTCATAGTAAACTAGAAATATGTAAATATGTTTTTGATGAAGTTGAATAAGCGTCATGGTAGAAATGGCAGAGCCAATTAACTAGATGGGTTGGCGGTATTGGTTAGAGACTGAAGTTGAGATATGCTATCTCAGTTATGACAAACCCAGGGCTTGATATAGACCAGGGCAATGGCTGTGATTGCTTGGGAAGTGAAGCATGAGACAGGCCCATGTGTTTGATGGATCCATTTATTCTTATTTGTTCAATGCATGTTTTTTTTTCCCCCCGTATTGAGTATAGAGTTCAGGGCTTCATGCATGTTAGGCAAGCACTCTACCCTGGAGCTACATCCCTTGGTCCTTTTTATTTTGAGATGGGGTCTCCCTAAGTTGCATAGGCTGACATTGGACTTATGATCCTCTTGCTTGCAGAGTAACTGAGATTACAGGCGTGTGCCACTTCCCCTGGTGTGCGTGTGTGTGTGTGTGTGTGTGTGGTGTTGGGGATTGAAACCAGGGATGCTCTACCATTAAGCTATATCCCCAGTTCTTTTTTAAAGAAATTTTTTATATATTTTTTATTTTTTTTAGTTGTAGTTTGACACAACACCCCCACTTTTATTTGTTTTTATTTTTATGTGGTGCTGAGGATGGAACCCAGTGCCTCACACATGCTAGGTGAGCACTCTCCACTGAGACACAACCTCAGCCCCATCTTTTTAAAACTTTTTATTTTGAGTAAGGGTCTCATTAAATCGCCTGGGTTGGCTTCAAATTTGCTACTTCCTGCCTCAACCTCCTGAGTAGCTGGGATTATAGACCACCACTATTTCAGTGCATTTTTGTTGAGCATATTCTATATACCAGTTCCTGTTTTGGGTGCTGAGAACTAGTCAGACAAAAGTCCCTTTCCTTGTAAAGCTTATATCCTAGTGCAAGAAACGGTCAGTAACCAAATTATATTGTTATATTGTATGCACGTATGGATATATAATAAATCTCATCAATATGTACAACTATAATGCACAATTAAAAAAAAGGTGGAAAACAACAACAAAAAGAAATGGGCAGAAAATAAGTAATGAGGTACTGGGTGCAGAGGCACATACCTGTGATCCCAAGCAGCTAGGGAGGTTGAGGCAGGAGGAGAGCAACAAGTTCCAGGTCGTGCTGGGCAACTTAAGACTGTGTCTCAAAAATTTTTTTTTTTTTAAGAGAAAGAGAGAGAATTTTAATATTTATTTTTTAGTTTTCAGCGGACACAACATCTTTGTTTGTATGTGGTGCTGAGGATCCAACCTGGGCCGTACACATGCTGGGCAAGCGCG